GTAACGTATATTGTGTACTAGAGAAGCTAAGATACATATTTTTGGACTGTGACCCCACAGAGTGTTCTGCGTGACAATGAGGCTGAGCACAACAGCACCTCCATGGGCTGGGTCAACAATGGCCCATCGGCCCACCGGGGAGATCCCCGTTAGCCCTGAATGTCAGTCCATTCCCGCCTTCCAGAAAGTTCTACTTTTGTTTTATTCGTCAACAGAATATTTTCACGTTTTGGCAAATGTGAGATCGGCCTTTGTGGTGTTTTGACTCACTGGTTTTGGACTTGAAACTTTCCCGTGGAGATATTTTTTTCTTATTCTTGAAACATGAATGCTGACCTGATCTAACGTCTGCAGGACTTTACTCTAAATCCTCCTGGATGAGTCGCTGACATGCTCTTGGTGTAATTTTGGTCGGTTGGTTATTCCTGGGAAGGTTCTCTAATATTTCATGTTTTCTCCTTTTGTGGGTAACTGCTCTATTTGAGTCATTTCTTTATTCTCCAGGTCTAGTGGGGATCAGGATGTGGCTTGTTAAAACTGAACTCAGATTTCTCAAAAAATTTGTTTAATCACATTTAAATCGTAATTTAACATGAGTCATTACTTTTCACACAGGGCCGTGTTGGTGTGGATAGCTTATTTTCTACTGCAGTTTGTATTTCAGGTTCTCGTTTTATTTTAACATTTGCTGGTTTGAAGTCTTTTAGTGTGATGAAGCAAAAATAAGAAATTTGTAAGAGGGTAAAAGTTTGTTTTCTATGAAACTTTTTCATATGACTGAATGTGGCTGAAAAGGCTGCAGAGTTTTACTCTCGTGGAATTTGTGTTTTTGTCTTTTGTTCTGTATTTGGACATTCGGGAACAGAAAGAAGCAGCCGTGTCTGTGGTCTGGATTATTCTCGTGAACTCTGGATTATGTTGTTTTTCTAGGATGAACAGTTTGATTTTGATTTGTGGTTCTGTCTTGATGTGAACTCTTGTCTTATATACAGTATGCTAAAATGTTTATGTCCATGATGAACTTCTCACAGTCTTACTTTTATTGGGACAGAAAATTCTAAGAAATCTTACTTTTTGAGACAAAAAATAAAATGTTCTGCACCTACTGTAAAATCTTGTTTTTAGTATTACGTCATTTTATTATTATTATTATCCATCCATCCATCCATTTTCTGTACACGCTTCTTCCTTTTCAGGGTTGCGTGGGTCACTGGTGCCCATATCCAGCAGTCACAGTGCGAGGGGCGGGGTACAACCTGGACAGGTCGCAAGTCCATCACAGGGCCAATTTGACTCAAATTAAGTCAAAATTTCTGCCAGTGGAGTAAGAAAATTTTACTT